TGTCCTTATCTCAACCCATGAGTTTCACCTTTTTCTTCTGACTCTCCTCCCCATCCCATCGGGGTTGGGGGGAGGAGTGAGTGAGCAGCCACATGGTGCTTAGCTTCTGGCTGGGTCTAAACCATGACACAGGAATAAACAGCCTTATCCTGTACCTTCATAGGATGAGCTCTCAAGGCCTGAGATGTTTCACATTTTCATCTTCTTTAAAAGTAGTGCTTGGTCAGCATTACTGTTTCAGAGGGAAGAAGAAAAGATTTCCTCCTCATGTTAACACAGAGGAGCCTTCAGCTTGGTGAACGGGCATGAAAATAACAATCCCTTTGGTATCAGCACATTGTAGCGAGCATGATGGATAAATGTGCACATACTGCTTTTCTAATAGCCCTCCATTGTTAGCATTTTAGCTGAATGCATTTCCCTTTTGCTGCTTAGGAGCTGCTGGATAACCAAGAAAACTATATCGCACTGTCCCTGTCACCCCACCAGGTCCCATTCTCTGTTCCTCCTGGTACCCTTCCTGGCAATGGAGAGAAATGTTCTCTCTTTCAGTAGCATCACTCTTGCTGTATTTGGCAGTAGACAAATAAGACTTTTGAAAACTGAAATATGTTTTTTGCCCTGACCATTTCTCTTTATCTCCTGAGCAAAGATTTAAAAGGCTGGATGATGTTATCTGTGATTCTATTTCTCTGACTCATGCCTAGTGACTCTTGGGCTGGTATATTAGCTACAGAGACTGGCAGGGATCCCTGGTGGTCTGGTGAAAATTATAAGCAGGACCACACAGGTACTTTTCTGGCTGTAACTTATTCTCTTAACTGTCTTTTGTAATAGGATCCTTTCATTAGTGTCAACATGGATTTTTCCACACCTGTTCTTCCCTCCTGTAGGCTGCCCCCAACACTGGGAAAAAAATGGGGGAAAATGCTACTTCTTTTTCCAAATGCAGAAAAAAAATGACTGGAATGCCTCCCGTAGAGAATGTACTGACATGAATTCAGACCTAGTGATCATTGAAAACAAAGAAGAACTGGTGAGATCCAAATTCATGGGACTGCTTCTAGGGTTGCTTGACCTGTATGCCAAAGGGCTGATGGGTTACACTTGTGTGTTCTCATGTTAGATGTCTTTAGGGGTCTATAATCTACTGCTAGCCATATACATCAAGCACCTCTGTATGACAGCAAACACCTTCACAGTAACATTCATCTCAGTGGTTGAAGCCTTGCATCTGGAAGCTAGTCTGTCCAAGCATGCTCCCATGGGAAGGAGCAAACTCTCTGCCTAGCTGGCTTACGTTTTAAAGTGATTCAGCGCATAAGCCAAGACCAAGCAAGTTGAACAGACACTTATTTGTGAGAGCCATTACTTTTAACAAAATCTGAAAAGGCTTTTCCATCACAATCAGAATAGAAAAGTGTCTCCAGGAAACAAGTTGCACCTGGCTAACTACAATGTATAGCTTTAATGGTATCACAGGTGTATTATTCTATTTAGTTCATTCCTAAGAAGCCCCAGGAAGAGATATGAGATTAAATAAAAATGGAAAAATTCAGATCTGAAGCTGTGAAAAGGGATGGTGTGGCTGGATGCACACTGTACTTTCTGTGTTGGCTATTTAGCACTAAGCTTTCTGTGTACCTCTGGTGAAGAAAATGTAATTTTAATGTATTATCATTGTTTGTTTCCTTTCTAGCATTATCTTAAGTCACGATCAAGGGGTCATTACTACTTACTTGGTCTCACATATTCCATGAGAGAGAAGAAGTGGAAGTGGATTAACAATATGGAACATAGCACAAACATGTAAGTTTATTCCAGCAAGTCACTGTGATGCAATGTCTGAAAACAGTAAACTCCCCCCCCCCCAAAACCCCAAACAAACCACCCCAAACAAACAAAACCGAAGCCAGCAACAGGGAGTACAAATGAGATCAGGGACTGCAATTTATAGCAACCAGATTCCTTGAGATTCAGGTGCTTCAGCACATCCCTGTCACAAGTCAAAGGGAGCTTGTGAGTCATGTGGGAACACAGGCATGCCACATCAGGATGGCAAGAGAGAACACAGCTGTAGTTCTGACAGGGAAGGAGGAATCTGACTAGATGGAGTTCAGTGGAGAGAGAAAGGATCTACCAGGCAGGGACAAGAGAGAGTGTGATGTCAGCACCAAATGGAGGCCACCAAAGAAGGCAAAGGTCGCTGGATGGGAAAACGTAGCCCATATACTTTTGCTGAGGTCTGGGGAAGAAAATTAAGGAATGGGAGGGAGACTCCAGCAAGACAGCTTCTAATCCCACTGTCAGTAATACAGCTTAGCAGCAAGACCAGGTGTCATTCTGGCTTTCGTGGTAGTGATACTGACTGCATTGCATCCAGCTGGGTCAGGAATGCAACTAAATCTGACTTTCTCCCCCTGTTCAGGTTTAATATAGAAGGAGACTATTATGACTACCACTGCACTGTCATTGGATATGACCAAGTAGCAACTGCATCTTGTGGTGGAAGCTCAACAACGCAAAACATGTGTGAAAAAGCTGCAAATATTTCCTAAATTCAGAAGAAGAGCTAAAACCAAGAGGTTCAGGCAGGAATGTCATGCCCAGTCTCCTGTAGGAACAGCAGATGGGATTTATTTCATTTATCTTTAGCTGTCTAAGTATCTAGTCAAAAGGACTCTTACAGGCTCCCTCTAGACACCTTGCCAAGCTTGGTACATTTTTTCCCACGATGGGTGTCTGAGACTGGATGGATCCCCATCTAGATGAGCCTGCATTTTCACACGTTAGGAGTCTGGGTGACTTGGTCATACCAGATGCCTGACTTTCAGGCAGCCACTGTTAGGTGATACGAGTCCAACATTGGTGATAAGTGTGATCACAAACAGATCCTATCTCTCATAGACACATGCATATACATCCATACATTGACAGCCCTGCTTGTGCACAAGGAGGCACTTCAAAGCCTTGCCATGCACTGGTCTTCCCTGCAGCCACAAGTGAAGGTTAACACATATTTATATTTTGGATCTTGTACAGAAGTGCAATCACATTCATTGCCATGTGTCATGCCATGTGATGGACAGGGCAAAGTCAAATGTGTGTGTGTGTGTAGACCTTACTCTGTAAAAGACTGTCTCTGTTAAAAAAACGCAGTGGATACTAGATCTTGTGGGACTAAAATGTGATTCACCAAAAGGGAAATGATCGTATACCACAGCTCTGTGCATAAAATCACCACTAGTCCTGTGTAGGTCAGATCTAGACTTAGCTCTGCTGAGGAAGTGCGCAGGATGAAGGGCAGAAGAGATCATCAAAGCCTGAAAAACAGAGTCACAGTAATACCTTCAACTAGACAGAAAACAGTCAAGTAAAAAAAAATAATGTTATCTGTGAAGAATCTGGTGAGAAGTATGAGAGTGACCTCCAGAGAAAGACAACACAGAGGACTGTCCTGTTTTTCTTGGATAATGGTTTGTACTGGTTTTGGCTGGGGTAGAGTTAATTTTCTTTATAGTAGCTGTTAAGGAATACTAGTCATTTAGCTTAAATAAAAATGTTTTAAATAGAATTAACCACTCTGTGTGATTTAATATGCTGTGTGTTTATCATAACTTACTTAGCATGAGTAGCTACATTTACTGAAGCCTTAGACTGCAAGCTGCAAACTTTCACCTAGAAACATTGAACTTACCTTGAACTGTTGCTTAGTTACATGAAGGAATTACAAGGCTGATTTTAATTCTTTATGCAGTTGGGCAATAGGCTGACATTAATTTGGATAGGTCAGGCTCACAGTGTCAGCCTCATAGGGCACATCCCAGACAATATTAGTCACTCCATTAGTGACTATTGCCAAGAAGAACCTGTGACTGAGGGACACCTCCAAGAAGTATTCCTCAGGGCTTGTCCTATTTTCATAAACCTATATCCCAGTGTGCTTCAAGCAAAATCTCCTCAGTTACATTGCTGCTGCTGAGAGGACTAACCAAGTGAACACAGGGTTGTCACAATGCAAAAGTGGCCCTAGGAAAGTATGCTCAGCGTGCTAACAGTGAGCAGCAGGGCTGAGGTCTGCCACAGTGCTGCATCCTGGGAATCTCCTTTGTCAGAGAGCCATTCTTTGCAGTCCTGTTTCCACCATCCTCTCTACCCTTGAGCCAAGAAAAGGCAAGGTTTGTTTGGTTTGGGATTATTTTCACACAAATGTTCAGCAGCTTTAAAATTAGAATACACGTTTATCACACAGGACTGTCCCGTTCTTTCAACAATGCTATGCCCTACAGTCTGTGTTAGGATAGTAGGCAATTTATGCTCCAGTCACAGACTCTTATCATATTCCACTGAAAACCTAGATACAAACATTTGAAAAACCCTCAAAATTTACAAGTCAGGAAATATCAGGTTTCCCAGCCACCCAGGATTAACTGGGTTACTCTGCTTAGTTACTGAATGGGGTGATGTTCCTCCAGCCTCACTTCTCTAGCTGGTGGAAGAGTTGTCTCTTCTATTTTTAGTTGTGACACTGCTGACATAAAAACATGATTTCCATGCAATTGTCCCCCTGCACAGTTTGATCTAGTTAACTGGAATGATCCCTTCATGAAGGTATCAACAAACAGAGCTAAGTGTCTGAGTACAGGCTAAAGAGAAAATGAGTGTGTGTGTGTGTGTGTACACGTACACACATAGACAAATAGACACATTAACCCTCTGAAAAGCTTCCTTGGTTAAAACTGTTTGCTGATTAAGCTTTGTCCATGTTCCATTTTAAGGAAGGGCCATTCTGAAAAGAAGAAAAAGCCACTGTTTCCTTTTCTGCTGCATCAACTACTAGATGATGATGAGGACCACAGGAGGAGAGAAGGATCACTTCCAGCATCGGAGATGCAAGTTCCATCCATACAGGGTTTTTTTTTGGTTTTCCCAGGCCTGGTAACTTATGCTTGAGCACATTAAGGACATACCAGATCTTTGGAGAGGAAGTTACCAGACTCTACTGAGTCTCTAATGAACATGTACAGGGATATAGGGAGCCTATATTCAGGGGAAAGGGTAAATTCCCTATCAAATGTCTAATCTCTGTTGATGTAGACGCTACAAAGTTTCAGTGAAATGGCTGTATCTTTTAACATGACTAAGAATGTGCTTGCTTCCTAATTTAATCGTTAGAAATAACAGAATTATTTAACTGAGACTTAAACTATAGGCATTATTTTTTGCTCCAGCTATAAAAAAAGGAAAAAAATAGTTCCTAAAAATAACTGTTGATTCTGGCTTGTTTTTAAAAGGCCAGTTTTGTTCTACAACTTACAACTTACTTTGTTAAGAAAGGGACCCCACTATATGAACAGAAATGCCTGGCACAGCCCTAAACTGTTAGGAATTTCCTACAGAATCCCTTGCTCCTAGAGTCTGAGTACAAGTGAGTGGTACAAAGGTTTCCTACAGTTAAGCCAACACTCAAATTCTGTGGTGCAATTAGTATAATTATTTTGTCTAGATGTGATATTTTCTTGATGCAGATTGGTCAGTTATTACTCTCTAATGTAGATCTGATATATGGTAGCTTCTGCTGGTAAAGCATATTCTCTTTCCTTCATAAGCTGAACAGCAGAATGACTGTAGGGTAGCTATGCCTGTGTGATTAAAGTTTTAAAACTCTTAGGATTATAAAGACCTAAAAATGTGTGAACATTCTTTCTTGAGGTGTTTCAACCCTAAAAAAAGATGAAGATAGTCCTTTATTTGGCTTCCAGACTTTGTGGGCATTTATATACATGCATTTATCTTTTTAGAGAACTAGACAAACCCAGAGGACAAAGAAAAAAACCCAACATAATTGAAGTACTGTAGTTTTGGGAACGTATATTTTTTTTTCACTTTTGAATTTGGGAATTCAGCATAGTTTGCTAGAAAGAACAGCCTTATGACAAAAATACCTCAATGAAGGCACCGAAGGGAAATCAGGCTGGAAATTAAAGCAATTAGGTGCTAATTAGAAAATTAGAAACTGAATTAGAAAATTAGAAACTGAATTAGAAACTGAAACACTGAAAGGTAAATCTCATTTCTAGTGTTGAAAATATACGAGATTTATCTGCTAGAGGTGGAGACCCTGGACATGTTTAAAACTAGCCAAGGTGTTCTGCTCTGAGTGGAACTGCAGTACAGTTTTAGGGAGGGAGGTTTGAAATAAATTAGTTCAAAAGGGCACTAAATTAGGACAAAAGCTTTAGATTGTGGCAGATGTTACTTGGGAAAATAGTGTATCACATTTTCAAATAGAAAAGGAAACAGCACAGCAACAAACAAGTATGATAAATGCTAATTTTTCAAGGAGATTTGAGTCCCATGTGCCTCTTTTAAATATAGGAATATATTCTGCAGGATGTCAGTAGAAAGCAGCATAAATTGTTAGACATCATCAAAAGGGAGAATTATGAGGGCTGGGACAAAATTTGGAAATCAGACACATACTAGAAAAAAAAATAATTATTCCACTGTGCAGGAATATGCTCAGAGAACAAAATGAATTTACAGAAAAGTGAGGATTAATTGTAGTCTTTAAGAAAAATACTGAGTTTGCTGAGAAAGTAGTTACTCTGCACATCCTATCTTCTTTTTTTTTTTGTAATTGAGATACAAACAGAAAATGACATATCAGGAAACTTAGTACTTGAATAAACAATAACACAGGACCCATTATTTTGTCATGATCTTAATGGCCTTAGGAGTTAAATTTTTTAAAACTTATAATAGTGCTTGTAAGAACTTGTGACTGTACCAAAGACTTGGGAGTAGCAATTGTCATACTAACACGTTTTACTTAATCTCAAAAAATTTTTTCAGATGTAAATTGTTTTCACACTTCCTGCTCATCATCTTTTCCATGTCATTTAACAGCAACTTCCAGCCTTGCACAACACTTAGATATGCTTTACCATTAACTGAAATATGCCAATCATCTCTCCTATTTCATAAATCAACAGTAGGATTTCATCTTGCAATTGCTGTTACTTAATTTCTTCAACAAAAATTTCATGATGGGATACAATGAAGGCTTTTGAAGAGCCCAGCTGGCTCCCTGGTTGCCATCTTGACTGAAGAGAGACCTGGAAAAGCCAAGAGAAATCCCATTTTCAAAAGCAGAAGTCATGCTTGTTGAATTCAGTTGTGTATCAGTGATATTGAGTGACAATATTAAGGAAAAGTAGCAATAGTGCCATGCAAATGGATTCAGCCATCACAGTTATTCTCTTTGCTTCTAAAGACACTTTCTAGCCTAGCATATAAATTCAAACCATTTCTTGGTTTTCATCCTGCCACAGAAATAAGCAGGCTGTTTCCTTTCACATGCCTCTGCCCCCACACAGCCTCATCTAACAGCAAAAAAGGAAGCCCCAGCTGTGAAACCACATTATGCAAGATAGAATGAAAATCTTCTCAGCCAAAATTAACACCCCTTTGCAACAAATACTTCCCCCTGCAATTGCATTGCCCCCTCTTCTGACGGCATTTCTTTGGCAACAGACCTCCTTACCAGCTAATTGCCCACAACCCTTGCCCTGTGCGAGCTGTGCTGGAGGAGGCACTTGGGGATTCCACGCCTCGATGTAAAGCAGCGTGTCTGTCTACAGCAGACATACGCATCAGAAAAAACCACACAAAACTCCCAAACATAAGCACAAGTGAGCTGGGCTAGAATTGAAGTGTCATATTGGATTTCTGTTCCTTGCCTGAAGACAAACTATGGTGTAAATATGTCAAACTATAGACACATTCTGATAGGAGATAC